AGCTGTGTCCAATAAGAAGATGAGTGCTACAAAAGGTGGTTAGCTGGGTGAGGAGAGAGATTGAGTTTGTTGGTTGTGTTGTGAGGAAGAAGGAGTCAGTGCTGTGAGGAGCTGCCCATGAGTAATCACCAAGAAGGTATGGGAGCTTTGCAATATGATGACCACAGATGACCTGTGTACAGACAGTCTTAATTTCTTTCCTTCCTTTCTGTAAACCCAGTGCACAAGTCTGACTATCCACAGCTGGTGAATCTGACTAAAGCACTTATTTTGTTGACTCTTTCATGTGTTTTTGATTCTTCGCTTGTGTGAATGAGGCTACGCCTAGGTAGCCTCACTCTTCGTAGAGATTTCAAAAATTTCCTTAGGGATTCAAAAATATACCATGGATATTTTCCAAAGAAACTGTTCATTTGCAAAGATGAGAATGTAATTGAAATGAACACGTAGGTTTTTTTTATGGCTTTTTTATACCTTTTAATGCTTATGCTAAAATCAAAAACCTTGAAATTTTGCAGAAGACTGATTATGGAGTGACCCTGTGTTTGACTCAGTGAAGTAGCATTACTTTTGTCCCATTTGATGGTGCTTATTTCTGTTTATGGTTCCACAATACTGGTAGTATTCTTTTAATGTGATTTTAGGAAAGTTTGGAAAAGCCTAGAGGATGAGTACCATTTAAATGACTTGTATCAACCTTTTGGGTCTTCTTGGTAGTACAGTCAGGTGTCATGCAAAAAATGATAAAGAATTTGAAGGGATGGGTTAAAAATTTTTAGAACAAATAGTTTTGTAAGATTTTGAAAACATATTGAAGAATCTCACCTTTTGGTAGCAGTATAAATGAATTATACAGTTTAATAACAGAATGCAGATCAGAATTTTGAGGCTAGTAAGGAATACTGAACAGTTAAAGAAAATTATGAATAAAAAAGATGAAATAAAATAAATTCCCAAGAGCTGACTAGAAGTCTCATTCATGATGCTGTAAAGCAACTCAGTTAAATATTCTTTAAAAGATTGTTTGTAGGAATTCTGCCTCTTGATTTTCCTAAGACATGTTTTTTAATAAGAATTTCAATGGGAATTACGATCAAGCATGGAGAAGCATGTAATGAATGAGCTAGATGGGGCTATTTGTGACAGTCTTCAGAGACAGGATTAAAGTTGAGCAGAGGGGAGGGACCAACATCCTGAATTGTTACTAATAAGCACTAATGAAAGAACATCAGCCATCCTTTGTGTTGAAAAATGCAGGCAATTTACTAATTAAAAATAATTCATAAAGTGGCTTCTCTTTTTGTATTCTGCCTGAAATATATGTGTACAAGTGAAGCTGGAGGCAGAGTAGCAAAGTGATCCTATATAAGGAAGATTTTAAGAGTTTATTGCCTTAATACTTAACTTAACTTTTGAAGTGTTGTTTTGATCACTTCCATCTTTGTGTGTACTCATGAAAGAGAATAAAAAACACCCAACTTTTTGGCAAGACTCAGAATTAAGGGAAATAAAAGATATTGCCATTTCACTCATTATCATAACTTCTGTTAACAAATACAGCATGTAATGTACAGTGCCTTAAAGCCCAAATGAATACCATGTTCAGCTGAAACTATGAAAATGAGATGAACATAGGTACAATGTACAATTCTTACTTATTTTGTCCATGAAGGACTTCCTGTTCCCCTAGTGCTTTTTGTACACTAAAGTCACAAGATATTAGTAAGACACAGCTTCTTTTCTCTAATTATGCAGTATAAATGGAAATTGTGGGCAAATCTCCTAATCTCCATAGAGACAGCACAACATTTATCTAATTAGAAGTTTGCCTTTTGGCATTACTTTGAATAAATTAGCATTTCATTACATAACTTGAACTACTTGGAAAAAGTTTCCAAGAGTAGTATTTAGTCTTTCTTTTCTGAAGAGTGTATTTTGAATTAGTGTAGGTTAATAATTGCCTTTGTAACTGGAAAGAGACAGAGTAGTACTGCTATTGTATTTTTAATATCAGAGGGCTGCACTTGCAGGTTCTTTGTTTTCTTTAATCTCTAGGAATCAGAGTAAAATCTTATGTCACCTTATTTAATGGCTTACTCCTTTACCAGGGAAAAATCCAAAAAAGAAAAGCAAAAAAAAATGGAGTAAGTTTGAAATTCAAGTACTTCCTCTCACTACCCTTTCTCCAGAGGTTGAACTTTTCTTTCAAATTGCAAAAGTCGCCCTCTATGACTAATTGTAAGTGAGCAGTATTTCCAACACGGCTAATCCAGAATACACTATTTGTCTTCCTTTCTTGTATATAAATCAGTGGCAGGAAACAGAGTGACCAAGTTTAGGTATTGACTGCCAGATAAGACAAGTGGCTGCTTATTAGGCTTTTCCTGAACAGGTACTGAGAATCAAAGCTTGGATGGGAAATTAAAAGAGGTAATTTATCAAGGATAGAGTATAATTGATTTTCTTTCTAAGTATTAAAAAGAGCAGAGAAGATTCCACAGAAGTGATAAAGGGTGCTAATTTCCTTGCCTTGAGTCACTGGCTTTTTCAGACCCCTGCTCACTCCTTCAGAGAGTCATTGGCTGACATCTGTGGCAGAAGATGGGCATGAAGTATGGTGTTAAATATTTGAATCTTCTCAAAGTGGCCTTTGCAGCAGGGATGTATGGTTACACCACCATTGCCATGATTGCCTTTTGGTAGACAGAGGCATGCAAAGAATCTGTCAGGTTGTTTTTGCAAAATCCAGAGGAACGAAACCATCCTCGTTTTGGGTTCTTTGATTGTCTTGGTTTGAAAGACTTGTCTGCTTGGAAAGGCAGGAGCGTCCCTTGGAATGGAGCATATGAACCCCCTCCCTCTGAATTATTATCATTTTGGAAATTAAGGGGCTTTCAGGCAAGACGGTATGGAGATAGGAGTAACAGTTCTTTACTAGTGTGTATAATAAACAAGCAACAACAACAATTACAGCATTAACAACAAACAGAACCAGAAAACCCAGTCCCAGCCTTGTGACTGTGGCAGTTTCCCCTTTGGTGCAGTTACAGCTTTAAGCAAGATTTCGATGGGTGAGGGGATAAAATCATGATCACTGAAGAGAGACCTGGAGGCAGCATGCCACTGTTTGACAGACAGTGTGCTAATGAGGTCCTTTGGTCTGCTGTCTTGTTAGTGGTAGGGGGTGGAGAGCCATGCAGCAGCAAGGGTTACTCATGTGCTAGAAACTGCAGAAGCACTTGGGAATGCTCATGCAGGAATTGGAGCTTCTTCCCATGAAAAGGCAGTGGGATTGATCACCCAAATGAAGTGCATCTACACATACGCATGCAGCGTGGGCAGCCAACGGGAGGAAGTGGAACCCATTGTGCAGCAGTAAAACTATGACATAGGGGGTTGGAAGTAGGTGATTAAGGTTCCTTCCAACCCAAACCATTCTGATTCTGTTACAAGAGAAAATAGCCTCAAGTTTCACCTGCAGAGGTTTAGATTGGATATTAGAAAAAATTTCTTCACTGAAAGAGTGGCCAGGTGTTGGAACAGGTTCTCCAGTGAAGTGGTGGAATTGCCATTCCTGCAGTGTTCGAAAGTCATGTGGATGCGGCATGGAGGAACATGCTTTTGTGGTTAACATGTGCTGGGTTAACAGTGAGACTCGATGATCATAGCGGTCTTCTCCAGCCTTAATCGTTCTCTGTTCTGTTTGGCTGTCAGACTGGATTTTGTATCTAGTAGCACAACACATCCAGAGCTTACAGTATTTGTGAGCTTGGAAGCAGTTACAAAAGGACCCCCAGTGCAGTGCTGCACATGATGCTCCCAGCAGTGTGTCCAACTGGACTCACTGATGTCCATTTCTATGCTTCTGGGCTGGATTCTCTGAGCAGATGGTCACTTAACTCCCTAGTGGTGAGGTAGGACAACCCTGTACATTCACTTGCCCCTTGATAAATGTTGTCTTGTTCTCTGGGAAGGCTTTTTCCCTCATTATTTGTTATTTGACACTGAGTTGATGGTGAGAGAGGAGCTCATGTTCCTTTCTAGCTCTTCTCCCAGCTTCTTTAGTTTTCCCTCTTGATTGGTGACTATTTTGTTTTCCTGGTCAATGAGTTGGCCAGAGTTGTGGGATGATTCATCCTAGGTCTTCTATTTTGATGAGCACCCTGCAAATAAAACTCCAGAAATTTTTTTTTCCAACTTTGGTCAAATCTGGCTCTTTTTAACAGCTGGAAAAATTAATGGAGAACTTGAAGATGAGGGAAAACAGAAAATAAATAAAGACAGTTTATTAATCCCTCCCTCCCTCCCTAGCATCATTGTGGGTAGATTGCTGCTTTCAGGTCTGGTCCTTGATTACCTCAGTACCTTTGTAGGAAGCTGACACAGGTTTCCAGTCCCCCCCACCTAGGGCCTAGGAATGTTGTTCCTGCACCTTCTGAGGCTGGTTAGTGCCTGGCTGTAAAAGCAGAATTCCAGAAAAGTCTGTGATTTGGTTGACTGTACCCACCCTTACTGTAGGACCCCAACTCTTGGCTGCCACATTTTGCACTGTCTCTTGGCTATAGCTGTCCTCACAGGGGCCATTCAGTGTCTCACAAAACAGCTCTTTCTTCCTTCTATCTTCATCCAGGGGCTCAGAAACTCTACTTAAAACTGTACTGTAAGAACAGAGAACAGTAATTTATATCCTAAATACACATTGAAATTAACTTCTCTTTCTGTATTACATTTTAAATGGTCTGTGCTAAAACCCTCTAATCTTCTGTATGTTCTAATAAATTTCACTGTGTTAGTTGCGTTGATATTGTGACCAAGCATGGTCTAGGGAACATGGGTTTGGAATTGAGTAAATTGCCAAAAAATTTTTCTTACCTGCTCCCAACATATTGTTTGTTTTAGGGAGATCTTGTCTGGGGATGTGGAAAATGAGAAGGCAATGTTAGAGGTATGTTAGAGAAAAAGACTGCTCTAATGTGATGGTCTGATTTTTTGTTCTACAGCTTGACGACTGCACCCTGCAATTGTCTCATAATGGTACCTATCTGGATCTAGAATCCACCCTAGCAGAGCAAAGAGATGAACTAGAAGGTTTCCAGGAGGATGCTGGGTAAGTAAAGGTTTACTAAATTTTTATATATAAGCATGTAGTTTACTTCATGTGTTCAGTCCGCGTGGAAGCGGAAAGATAAAAATCTTTCCCTTGTATGCCCATCTGCCTGTCCCTTTGTATGATTAAGAATTTTATGCCTTCTCTCTCTCTACCTTCACTCTTACAGTTTCTCTAAAATATGCCATAGTGTAAAGAAATCTATGAATATGAATATCTTGATTAGTCTAGTAAGATTTTATAGTTGTTTGAAAATTGATAAATGAGGATGGTTTGTTTGGAGAACTCTCAGATCTTTCTTATATTAGTCATGTAGAGGATTATATTGGGGTGATGTTCCTGAAGTTATAAATTCAATTTATTTTGCCTTGATAAGTTAGGTCCTCCATTTATTTTTTTGAAGACAAGACCTGTATTGGTTTCTTCTTTTACTCCTGGAATTGATTGAACCAGTCCAAGGGATGGGTGTGCATGGTTATTTTTTAATATTCTCCTCTCTTGCTTTTTTCATTTTTAGTTATTGCTGGCACACATGGATTGCTATGACACAGTTTCCATAATCATCTCTTTGAGAACTGAAAGTGAAAGCAGAAGTTAGCAGTGCGTGTTTGTGTAAATGCACATAGGAGATTGGCTTTTTTGAAGAATTTTCCTTTTATAGATCTTTCAGATGATTGTCTTACTTAAGATGTAAAATGAACAGAAAGTCTAGATCTGTTTTTGCATTTCTGGTTACTCTATTGGACTAGATAGTTGTGGTTACTTAATGGGTATGTTTAACTAAATTTTGAATTGGTCAGAGTTTGTTAACAGTAGGAGATACAGCCCTTTTGCTTATACTTCTCCACTTCTGGTAGCTGTCTTGCCTTTGAATATGCCTTATAAATCTGAACTGTGCCTCTGAAGATTATTTTATGTGGAGAAGAATTTTAAATAATATTTTCCAGATATTGATTTGTGTGCATTTGTGTATGTTTTATTTGCCCCTACCTGTTTGGGGCATGTTTTACAACCATAATGAGATAAAAAACTGTTCTGTTAGAAATCAGTTAAAAGAGAGTCTGTTGATAGAGTAGCCAATACAAGCTGAACTGAGCTTCCTTTCCTATGCAATAGGAGTGTTGAGTGTAGAAATTGATACAGTCTTCAGTTTTGTGCATAGATCATAAAAATGACTGCAAAGAACACCAGATTCATATTTCCAACTAACTTTGTAATGAGCTGAAAGCAAATAATTTAAAGGATTTTTTTTGGGGGGGTTAGCAATACATTTTGAATTTGTCACATTTTTTCCCTTCCGTTGGTGTCTCTGTGATAATTCTGATAACTTTAACTTCACTGCTTCTAACACTCCACAGTAGCAATTTGGCACTGCCAAACAATCAGGCAAGTGAGAGACAATTTGGTGCTTTTCCTGCCAGACTTTGCTCTTGAAATGGCAAGCTATTGTCCACCTTGTTTTATTTATCTGCTTCTTTTGGGCATGTAAAATCAATTATATGTTTTGTTCCTGAAACACAATTATAATTTTCTCTGTGGTAGCTATCCTGGGGGAAAGAAAAACCAACAAAAAACATGGAACTGGTGCTTGAAGGTGAGGTTTCAAATGGATTTCTGCATTTCATTTTTGTCCATGTTTTGTGAGAAAAGAAGAGATAAACAAGAACCACCAGAGCTTCGGGAAGTATGTGGGATAAGCTTCTCTCTAGGACTTAACATTGTTACTTCATGGTAAATGCCGCTTATGTGATGTTATTCATAAAACTGGAATATTCTAGACGTAGGGTTGCAAATGCAGTCAGTAATATCTTCTTTGTCCTGTATTTCTAGCAAATTAAACTCCATTTTTGGGCCTTGCAGTTCTGAGAACAAAACACTGAGCTGGAGTGCTCCTGAGCTGGACCTTCTGGCTGCAGACATTGGGAGCTTAACATCAGGTTGCTGTCTGGGAGGGACTGGCTGCAGAAACCATTTAGTCTCTCTCTGTTTCTGTCTGGGTCATTTCAAGGTCCTGCTCTTAATCTTCAAAGCTTTTAATTTTCTGAGATTAGGCTACCTCAGGACCTGCCTTTCTGCCATGCCAAAGCTGCTGTGCTCATCAGGGTCACTGAAGCCCGCTGAACTGAGTGAAGGCTTTAGTAGCTGGATATTCGTGGCATTTTTAAAATTTCAGAACCTTAGCTGTGGAAACGCCTACTCAAAATGGCCAGAATGTCCTGTAATCAGGCTGTTTTTATTATCTTTTTGCCAAAAGTTCCTGTTCATCCTGGGAAAAATTATGAAGATGTTCTTTTTAAACCCTGTTGAAAGGAGACTTGTAAATAAAAGAAAACAAGCAGAAAGCCAAGTCTTAAAAAATTTTATTGGTTTGAGAGGCTGTAGGTATTTTTTTTCTCTGTGAGGGATTGGATGAGCATAGTGAAAACATGAAGGATTTATCTTCAAAAGGCAAGAGGAGAATGGTGACAGTTGCTGGAGGTTTATGATGTGTACCTGTAAATAACCTGGACAAGAAGCATATGCATTCATGCAATTGTAAATGAATGCTATTGTTATTGAATATAGTGAAAAGAGGCTTTTTGTTGTTAGTTGCTGTCCATTCCAGCAGAATGGAAACTTATCTAGTGAAGGAGAAAAGCCAACTCACGTGGCCTTGTACTGCACATGGTCTTTAACTAAAACATGGGTGGGGATTGGGTGGCTTTCTGGACTCCACAACTTCACCTGCTGCCATTTGCACCCTTGAGAATAGCTGTGAGGTTCAGAAGAATCAGATTGTTTTTGTATGAGGGCTGGTTTTGGAAGAGCCAGGATGAACATCTGGCCAAGTAATGAAGCTTGCCCTGCAGAAGGTTTTGTGACAAGCAAAAGGGTCAGTAGGAGCATGTAGGAAAACAACCGTTCTTTTCAAGTCTGGATTGTGTTCGTGGCTCACTTGCTTGTTGGGTTGCTTAGCTGTTAGGCTTTTTTCTCTTGCTTCCAACACAAGTTACTTGGTGGATGCTTCATTGTGTAGGGTAGTACACAATGGAGGCTGTTTAGGCAGGTTGGCTGCTTTTAGGTGTTGGTGCCAGGTAAAGCTCCTTTCCTTGGCTTCCTTGAGGTTTTACAGAGAAGGCAAGAGTTGTCAAGAAGCTGTTGTGTTTAAATTAGCATATAATTGCTCAAGCTCTCTTTGTGGATATGTCTTAAGAGGCCATCATAGGAGCTCTCAAGGTAACACCGTCCTAAAATGAAGAACAAGAGTTTCTTCAGGCAGTATACTATGAGCAGTGAAAATTTCTTCAGGGAATATGTTTTCAAGACTTCTGTTCAGCAGGGATTCTTTTAAACTACTTCTCATAAATGGCTTCAGCACTCATGTTTTTGCATTCCTTCTAGACACCCTATCTCAAGCCATTTTGGTTGGGTGAGTCCCATGATAGACCTTTTCCCTCTTGATGGTGCTATTCATTCTGGTCTTCATTCAGAATCTGTTTGAGACACTGGAGTCTGGCAAGAATCTCTAACATTCTTTTTCTGCTTCTGTACTGTTTTTCCCATTTAGACTTTGCAAATAGTACAATTGTGAGAATGAAAACTTTGTCACTTGTTTACATAAGGAAGTTGGGGATGCATTGGAAAGTTAATTTAGTTTTTGTCTTACGGAAATGGTATGGCTTATTTCTTGAAGCAGTACTGAAATCTAGCAGATTGTGTGCTGATTTCACCTTAAACAGAATGTGTTTGTGTTTGTTCATGGGTGGAAAATTATCTCAACTTCTGATAGCTTTCTCTCCGTGTTTTGTCTTAACGTCATTTTTATGTTTCTCAGTGCCAACAACAAGAAAAATAAGGGAGGTATCAGGGGAAGATTGTCATTACGTTGTTACAAACAGAAGACTGTGACTACTTAGTGACATTATTTACTCATGTTTTCTGCCCAAATATTTTGATTTCTCTGATATTTAGCTATTATGCTGAATCTGAAAAATGCAATTGATAGTAACAATTAAAAGCATGCAACAAAGCAAGAAAAACACTCAACAAAAAAACAGAAGAAAAAGAGCTCCCTAGAAACATCAAACTAAAACACCTGGGCTGAGAGGTTATGATAATTTTTTGGAAGGTGTAAGAATTTCTAGGCTAGCAGTATTTCATTCTAAATTGTATCAGATTGAGATGTTGAACTGCATTTTGATGTGGATGTTTTGCTAAAACTTCACTGTTGCAGAATAAATAGTGATACAGATGAAAATTTCACTTTCCTAAAGAAATACATTGAATGAGTAAGTTGATGCTGTTCATAATTACCTCAAAAGATTGAGGGCAATAACTATTACCACGTGTATTTCCAAAACTTTATGCAGCTTTTTTGCTTCTTAATCCTGATACAATTTCATTGTTTATATAAAAAAATAATTAGGTAGAATATGGAAATGAATCTTTAGGTGGAACTGTAGTAATTCATTTTCATAGTTATCTTGCAATAACCATTGACAGCAAAATGAAATAAAATTACTGGTCCCGTATGGTTTCCCTGTTTAGAACAATTGGCAAGGCATCTCTGAGCATTCCTGCTTCCAGAGTGTGTAATCAAAATAATTACAAAAATGTGCATATATTTTGTAGGCCTGAAAAAAGAGACATGTGACTTTGAGGGATGTGCTTTGAAAGCAGGATGGAAGCAATTAACAGTTGTAAGTTCCACTATGAAAATTATTCACCAGTTGTGAGATTTCTTGTCAGTGGATCTCCTTGACACAGTATCTTGTGAAGAAATGATTGACAAATTAGGGTTCCTACTAATAGTAAAATGCTACTACTTTTGTAGTTAAGAAATAAATACTGATTTGTGAATATGAAATCTATTTAGAAAACAAGCATCTTCAAAATAATAACAAACTTGAATAAATTTTAGTGCAGGCCAAGGCTTGTTTTCTTATATAGTTTCAGCTTTAAAGCTGGCTTGATGGTATAAAAGTAAATCTCTTCTGCATATATTGAGGTCAGAGACTGCA